TTCTTTGTTCTTCAGAAAGATATTACAGTGAAATAAAATGGAAATGGGATTATATAAAAGGCAATGGAGAAAATCAAGTTGATCTGTGAAGTGAGTTAGGGGAGCAGCGCTGAGTTTCTGTGCTGGGGAGGATATGCTCTTCTATGAGGATTCAAGGAACTGGGAGAGGCAGTTTTTCAGAACCGTCTGGGGGAGCAGCAGAAGATTAATAATAATAGCATCTAACATTTACTGAGCTCTTACTATGGGCCGGGAGTAGTTGAAAACTCTTACCATTCATTAACTCTTTTGAAACAGAACGGTTCTGAAAGGATATTATCATCATCCCCAAGTTATATAAGAGGAAACTGAGGCTCCGAGAGGTTAAATGAGGTTCTGGGTCAGCTAGGAAGGGGTTGAGTCAGAATTCAAACCCTGTTCTGTCATAGTCTAAAGCTCATTTTCTTATCCATTAGAAATAAACTAAAGATCAAGAGCTGTTTGCTTCCTAGTGTTTTCTTCTAAAAACATTTCTATCATAGTAATATATGCACAAAATTAAAAAGCAACTTTTCCCTATCCCCACCCTCCCTATCTCCACACCTATTTCTTAGAAGCAACCACTTGAACTTTTTCCTGGTGGCGAAGTGAGTGACGTTTACTTTTAAAGACCACATATTTCTAGAAAAACTCCTACTCTTCTAGCAATCAGTTGACTAGCCTTTCCGCCCTGATAGTCAGCAGGCAGCCTTCTGCCATGCAAGGCTTGCCCCGTTCATTGGAACAGGCCTGCTCTATGCTCCCCAGAGCCAGATTCTCTGTTCCTCCAAGCTGAAAACCAGCTAATAGGATAGTTGGTTATAAGGACCTCCCTTAGTGCCCTGTATAGGTATCCCGCACCCTATGGAAATAATATCCTACTTTTGCCATCTAATAGAGACAAATGAATCTAATGATGGCAGATTCATAGCAATATGGGAGACACTGTGATATAGCTGGAATCACTCAAATGATACCATGGGTGTTGAAGTCTGTCTTAGGGCCAACCCTGCTTCTAATCAGAATGAGAAAGTTAGGTGGGTGAATGGCAGCGGGATACCTTGATTCAAATCTTCCTTGTAGGAAGAAAACCAGTATTGCCAAACCAGTTTTAAAAACCAGACCCAGAAATGGGAGAAATGGGAGGTGAATTCCACATGAGTTGGGGGAGGACAAAATGAGGGAGTCCAAAGAAATGAAAAAGTGACCCCCCCAAAAAATAAAAAGAGAAATAATAAGGGTCACGACTTTGAGATTTAAGTGGCAACAGATGTCTCCCCTGGTTTCAATATTTTTTTTTGCAGAAATCACTTTGTTAACTCCCTCTTCATATCCATTTTGTTGGTGACAGACTATATCCCAAGGAGATGTGGTTACCAACCTTGCATCCCAAAACAAGAGCAATCCAGACATCGGGGTACCGGGAGGCACAGAAGTGTGTGCTGGTCAGTGAGCAGGACACTTCTCTTCCTGTCACCTAGGAAGGACACAGACTCAGGACTGAGGGTACGCACGATTGCCAGAAACACATAGCAGATCCCTGTGAACATCCTGGAGCGTGAACTCCTCTACAGTGTATTTCCTCCTTAATATATAAAAGCTATAAAACTTAGGTGACTCCATTAGAATCTCAATGAGAGGGACTCTTCATTGGAGGATAAGATGATAAGGTTGGGCTGACAGGTGGATGCTTGGTGACAGCAGGGTCTATCCCATTATGTACTTTGTTACTATAATGATTCAAATTTTGGTGCATCAGCAAAATTACAAATTATTTCACATCATGTTCCTGCTATTTGTTAACAGTTGAAACCTGAAATATTAAATCTGCAATGTCAAGATTCCACTGTATCCCTCAGTCCATTGTGACACTGGAGACATAGATTTCCTATTAATTGAACACTATGTACTGGGCACAGTTGAGTTCTTGACCTGCATTGTTTCACTTACTTTTCACCAGAGCCCTAAGAAATAGGTAGTATTATTATCTCCATTTTGTCTACGAGGAAATTGAGACTTAGAGAGGTTAAATAACTTTCCTAAGGTCAAGTGGCTGGAAAGTGGTCGAGCTGGGATTTGAAACAGGGTTGACTGACTCCAAAGGCCACCTGGAAATTGTACCTTTACTTCTCATCAATTAGGGGAAGGCAACTTCCTATAGCTGAAAATTCTCATTATTGATAATGAGGAAGCAGAGATAACTGCCCGGCAGATCCAGTGTGCTGACATCTCAGTGAATGCTGTTAGAAGGCACTTGGAGTGGGAGGAGCATTGGGAATAGTGGCACACCTTGCAGACAAGGAGCAAGGCATTCATGGCAGCCACAGTTCCTAACTCTCCCTCTTATTGGGACCGCTTATCTTCTTGTTGGGAGGATGACCACACAGTGAATACAACTGGGAGAATGACCCCCATGTACCACGGAAGCTAGAACCCCCCATCCCCAGTTCAGGAATTAAATTCTCCAGGGATTGGGCCCCTCACCGTCATACTGACACTGAGAATCTGGAGGCACTGGATGGGATCACTCAGTACCCATGTCATGAGCAGGATCATATCAGCTATCACCAGGGCTGCCACCAACCCCAGCAGCTGCAGGTCTTTGATAATCTGTAAAAGAGTCAAGGTCATAATTTTCCTTAGCTCACTGGCTATAAGACACAGGGGCTAGTGTTCTGATGAATAGGCTCGATGGTGAACACTTCCAAAAAGCTTCGTTTCCAGCTTTCGAAGGTGAAACAGATACTAAATATTTACAAGGTTTTCTACGTCTATATCATCATTACCATCATTAAAGAGTTCCATTTGCTTATCTTTCCTGTATCTTGCACTTTTCCACAAAATATTCAAAGGTCTTATAAAATAAATACTCTATTATTTCTAGATATATTTATACAAGCACACAGAGATGTGGGAGTGTTCACATAAAACTGTTAACAACCATTAACCCGAAGGGTGGGATTGAGAGCTAAGAGTGGTAGAAAAGTATTACTAGCATTTTCTTTATACTTATATGAATCACTTGACCTAATGCAAAGAAAATGTGTTACTTTTGTGACTACAAAAATAAAATTAAGAAAATACATAGCCTGCAACAGAGTGACAAGGAAAAATATTAATGAAAAGAGAAAATAAAGAGAATTATGATGAAGGCTCAGGTGAGGAGACTACACAACATCCATGAATTGGGGCAGAAATGTGGATCTGAGTTTTTGTCAACCAATGAAAAGAAGGAAGCACAAGCAGTTACATATTTCATGGTCTTTGTAAGATAAAAACAAATCAGTTGCTTCACCAAACTGCTCAAAACCAGTAATAAAAAGTAAAACTTCAAAGCAATCAGCAAAAAAAGATATATAGAGAGAAACAAGTCATCAGATTTCTCATCAGATACCAGGCCAGGTGAGAAAACAGTGGAGAAAAATCTTCAAAGTACTAAAAGTAAAAAAAAGAAAACCTCAACCTAGAATTCTAGCAAAACATCCAGCAAAACATATCTTTCAAAAACAAAGTTGGAATACAGACTTTTTCAGATCAACAAAAGCTGAAAAAATTCAGCATTAGCATGTTAGATATCCTTCAGGCAAAAGGAAAATAATATCGTATGAATACCTATACAAGGAGATTAAGAGCTCTGGAAATGTTAACTTCATGGGAAAAAATGGGATCAATTTTTATTTTTTAAATATCTTTAAAGGATAACTCATTTTTAAACAAAAAATAATTGTGTGGGGCTTATAACATGCAAAAGTAAAAATAATAACACAAAGATTGAGAAGGTAAGAAAGAGAAGCATACTATTGTAAAGTACTTATATTAGGTGAATACCAGTTATACACAAACTCTTCCAGAAATCAAAGAGGAGGGAATACTTCCCAATTCAATTGATAAGCTTGCATTACTCTGATACTAAAGCAGAAGATTTTACAAGAAAATTACAGAGCAATATCCCTTATGAACGTCAATACACATATTATAAGCAAAATAAATCCAACAATATAAGAACAGGATAATACATCATGACCAAGTGGAGTTTGTCTCAGGATTCAAGGAGGGTCTGAGATCCTAAAATCACTTAATGTAATCCAACATATGAATAAACTAAAGAAGAAAAACCATATGATCATGTCAATAGACATAGAAAAAGTATTTTACGAAACCCAACATCGATTCCTTATATAAACTCTCAACAAAATAGGCATAGAAGGAAACTTCCCCAACTAAATAAAGAGAATCTACAATGAAATTACAGCTAATGTTTTACTGAGTTGTAAAAGACTGAATGCTTTCCCCACAGGATCAAGAACAATTTAGGAATGTCTTCTCACAGAACTTCTATTGAACACTGTACTGTTGTTTCTAGCCAGTGCTATCATACAAAAGATTAGACAAGAACTGTCTTTATTCACAGATGATATAATAATCCATGTAGAAAATCTGATGGAATCTACAAAAAAGGTAATAGAATAAATAAGTTAACAAGGTTGCAGCAAACAAGGTCAGCATATAGAAATCAATTGTATTTCTACATATTAGCAACAAATAATTGGAAAGTGAAATACAAAACAGTAACATGTATAGTAGCATAAAAATATAAGATACTTATAAATAAATCTAATAAAAGATGTCAAAGACTTCCACTGAAAACTATAATAAAAATTACTGAAATTAAAGAAGATCTAAGTAAATGGAGAAATATACTATGTCCATAGGTTAAAAGACACAACATTGTTAAGAAGTAGATTCTCCACCATTTGACCTATAAATTCAATATAATCTCAATCAAAATCCCAGTAGGATTTTTGCAGAAATTGGCAAACTGATTCAAAAATCCATATGAAAATTCAAAGGACTTAGAATAGCCAAAACAACACTGAAAGAAAAGAACAAAGTTGGAAAACTAATATTCTCTAATTCAAAATTTAATATAAAAATACAGTAATCAAGATAATATGATATTTGTGTCAAAAGAAACAACTACATCAATGAGACAGAGTAGATCCATAAGTAGATCTACGTATCAACAAAGGTGCAAAGATAACTCAGTAAAGAAAGGACAGTCATTTTAATAAAAGGTGCTAGAACAATTAGATATCTATATGTAAAAAAATCAACTTTCATCTCTACAGCACACCATATTTCAAAATTAACTCAAAATAGATCAAAGACCTAATTGTAAAACCTATAACTCTTAGAACTTCTAGAAGTAAAAACAGGAGAAAACCTTTTGTGGCCTTCGATTAAGCAAAAGTTTCTTAGATCTGATACCAAAAACATGATCCATAAAATAAAAATTAGGTAAATTGGACTTCATCAAAATTAGAAATGTTTTCTCTTTGAAAGACATTCTTAGCAAATGAAAAGAAAAGCCACAAACTGGAAGAAAATGTTTGTGAATCATATCTGATAAAGGCCTGGTATTCAGAATTACAAAAAAAAAAAGAACTCTCAAGACTCAATAATAAGAAAACAAACAACTAAATTAAAAAATGTGTGGTAAATGAGCAGATACTTTACCAAAGAAGAGCTATACATGTGAAAAGATGTTCAATATTGCATTAGGGAAATTCAAATTAAAACACAGTGAGATATTACTACATACATCTATTAGAATGGATAAAATAAAAAAGACCAATCAAGTCAAATGTTGGTGAGGATTCAGAGGAAAGAGATTCTCAGACTCTGCTGGTGAGAATGTAATATGGTACAATCACTTTGGAAAACAGGCAACTTCTCAAAAAGTTAACCATACACCTACCTTATGTTCCAACCATTCTACTCTTAGGTTTTTATGCAAGAGAAATGAAAGCATATGTCTACGTAAGGACTTGTACATTAATGTTCATAACAGTTTTATTTTTAATAACTCCCCCAAACTGGAAATAAACCCAAACATCCATCAATAGGTGAACAGATAAACAAACTGTAGTGTGTCTACACATTCAAATACTACTCAGCAATAACAAGGAAAGAATCACCGGTGCACATAACAACATGGAAGAATTTTAAAATGATTACACCAAGTAAAAAAAGATAGACATAAAAAAAAGTACATGCTGTATGAGTCCGTTTATATAAAATTCTGGAAAAATGCAAACTCATTTATAGTGATGGAAAGCACATCAATGCTTGCCTGGGAACAGGGACAGGGATGAAAGGATTGGACAGGAGAGGGAGGAAAAGGTGCATGAGGATGCTTTTACGGATTATACAGCACATTTCACGGTGTACACAAATGTTAAAACTTATTGAATCATACACTTTGAATATGTGCAGCTCATTGCATGTCAATTATACCTCAATAAAGCTATTTAATAAAAGCTCTTTAATAATCAGTGTTCTAGAGGGATGGACGAACTTCTTGCTCTTTAGGCGATCTTTTCCATATGTATGGGTATTCGCAGCTGAGCTTTTGATAAATATTCACCATGATTCGATAATGTTTGCTAAAAAACAAAACCCACCATTCCAGAGAAGTAAACTCCAATTGAGAAATATATTGGGTCTGGGCAGGGCCTTTGGATAAAGAGTTTGATGATAAACTTTGAGGTTGAGGCAGCTCTATGAGGGAACCTGATAAAATGGGAGAATGTGGTTAGGATGACAACTGATACCAGGGACATGAAGGAGATCTGCTGCCAGGTAGTTTCTAGGCTGATATTATCTGCCGAATGGGTGTCCTCTCCCTTGCTCACAGCTCTAGGCCCATCCTTCTTAGTCCAGAGAGTGCCTGGACTATGTTTCTCTAGCTTTTAATGAATAGTGAAGCTGCCGTCTGCAGTCAAGCAGTGTGTACTTGCTGCCTACTCACCACTCTCTTGTCTGGGACCCTGTGGGTAAACACCTTGTAGAGTCGCCAGCTCTTCCCCAGAACGGGTCCAAACACAAGGGAGGTCCCAATGCACAGCACAGACAGTCTTACCTACAGGTGGAAAGGGACAGAAACAAGAGGCATGAGAGGAACCTTTGTCATTCTCCACACATTCTGATCTGCAAAGCCTCAGTCCACAGAGCGCGTGGACTGAGATAAAGGTAACCACCACCCACAGGTGCAGTTGGTTAAAAAATTATCAAACTTTGGCATTATATTCAAAACAAAAATTTTAAGACTTCACTTACCTGAATGAGAATTTCCATTGAGCTTCCCATGGACGCATCTCGATCTTGAATCCCAAAGAGATAAGCGCTACTATAAGTCAGACAACTGCCCAGTAAGGTCACAATATTCAGATTGGGACTGGACATCTTCACAATCCTAGAGGGAGGCAGGAAGGAAGACACTTACAGCCATGACCCCTTGCCCTGGGAGTGGACAGAGCTTCCCCACCAGCATAGTCCCCAGTGCAGCCTCAGAGTGAAAGAAAGGCCACTGGGAAGAAACCACTTTAGAGCCCCATAAAATAGCGTTATGATTTATTTAAATTTATTTTTAAAAAGAACTAAATTCTGTCATTTCTCGCTTGCATGACTCCAAGTCTTTTAAAAGAAAGTCAACTTCTAAAAACAGGTAGTATCAAAGAAGAGTTAAGAGTTTTCCACATTTATAGTTGCTAAGAGACTGCTGTAGGCAGCCTAATGATTAAATAACTAGCAGGTAGATACCTAAAGAGATACAGTTTGAAGCCTAAACTACAGTTTGAGCTGTAAAGCACTATTTGGAAAAAGGTTTGAGACTTTTTTCGTACACTATTTACTTCATTTGATATGAAAATTGTTTTCCTGTGTCTACCTGACCAAGTAAGGAAGAGGAAGCAGGGGCTGAAAGAAGGAAATTTGGGAAGGGTCTTTTCTTGAGTTTTAAATAAGGTTACAGAACAATTCAAAGATTAGAGGGAGGTATGGATAATCAGGGGCTCAGATAAACCCTATGCGCCAACAGAGGCTCAGGCAGGACAAGGTAGAAATGTGTGAATTGGTTAACCTTGGGAAAACCAGGCTTAAGCTGGTTTTGTGTGTGTGTGTGATCAATAACAATTAAGAAGTAAAAGTAACTAATAGCAATTAAGAAAGAAAGCAATTATTTTTAAGAGTTTTAGTCTAAATAGTATATTTTACATATATGCAATATTTATACTGAGTCAAGTTAATTATACTTATTTTCATTTTTAATAATATCTGAAGAAGAAAGCATTGTTATCTATGTACCTGGATTACCTGGCTGACCATCTTAAAGCCTAGAGCCAAGGCAAAAGCAACTGCTTCGTGCAGCCTATTTTAATGGCAGACAAAGTCCACAGGAAGCATTAAACAGTTTGTCAGTGCTGGATTTGCAAACATTATAACTACCATTGGCCCCGCTTGATTACTTTGTGGCTGGCAGCATAATTACGTCCATACACATAAGAACACCAGACCACTGCCTTAGGACTCAGGTTTCAAGGACGGTCAACAAAGGCCAAAGAGTCCAGTCGAGCTTTCTCTGGTCTTGGAGCAAACTCTTGGACGTTTTTTCCCCCCTCTAAAAGTGAAAACAACTTTCATGCATTCCCCTTGTAGAATGGGGGTAATAATACCCCTGCCCTTCAAAGCTGTGAGGATTCAATGAGGCAGTATCGCAAAGAACCTGGCACAGGACCTGGCACATAGTAAGTATGTTCCCAACATTAGCTGCTGATATTATTAATTTCACCATTTTCCAGGCTTCAGAAACCTAGGAATTACCTTTTCTTCCCCTGTTTCTTTATCACCAAATCGATTGCCAATTTCTTTCATTTGTTATTTCAAAATCTCTCTGAGTTGTCCCTCACTCTCTATTCCTGCGATCACATTTACCCAAGATACGATCATGTCAGGAGCAATGGAACTGGAGTCAGTTGCGACAGCTGGGAATCCTGGCTGTGCCATTCACAGCTGTGTGACTTTGGGCAAGTCATTTAACTCCTCTAGGTTCCTGTTTCCTTGTGTGTGAATTCAACATGATATCATCTTTCATATTCACCCCAGATTAAATGATGTGTGTGCCAAAACTCTTTGAAAACTCTAAGGTGATGCAAAAATACTAATTTTTAGATTTTTGGTGTAATTTTCAGCTCTCTGTAACCCTCATTTTCCCCTGATACTTCCTATACATTACTTTCAGACTTATTTTCTTAAAATACTACCTTCATCACTTAGCAAGAGAGCTACATGTATAAAGAACATTTTTCTATTGTTTACCTTAAGTCTCCTGTATTTAGATTTAAGATCTAGCCCTACCCTCCTCTGTCATCATGTCTTCAACTTGTGTACTGAGAGTAATCTTCCCTAGTTTCTTTGTCTCTTCTCATAAGAAGGCGGAATATGTGGTGAATATTGACTACCGAAAGGAAAACAATGCTAACCAGCAGCTTCGCAAAGCATTTGATAAGAAGAGTCATACATTTAAGGGACCAGCGCTGACACTGATTCAGAAAGGAAAGTACCACTGACCTGGGACTGGCCACTCAGTGCAGTCAGAAGCTTGGGCAGTGGTACCACTGCCGGGGCGGGCTCTTGCAAGACCAATAACTGAGGCCATTCTTCCTCATGGCCGCTCACAAGCTCCTGGGCATGAGCCATAAGTATCTCATGATGACTTCTTCACCAAGCAATGGTGAGGAGGTCACATATTTGTGTTGCCTAGATCATTGATGGGTAGGTTTCTTTTTTCACTTTTCTTTGGACTCATTTTATTGAAACATCACTGCACAATCAGGTCTCCTTTCATACAATCCAGTATTGCATGAAATCTTGACTTAGAACTCCTCCCCATCCCGATTTAGTTAGGAGGAACTCAGTTATTTTTGACAACATATATATTACATAGTCTTCACATCTCAGAAGTTGATGCAAATCCATTTTTCAAATGGACATGTTATGGACTTACATATGTATATTTCATAGTAAAAACAATTTTACTGAAAACTTGCCCCAGAAAAAAATGAATGAAAAATAATATAGCTATTTTGTTTGGCCAAGTTAACACCTGTGAAGTGCTGAAAAGTGAATCATCTCCAATTCAGAAGGAGAATTATGCATGTCTGGGAAGGTCTTTGCTACTTTGATAGGAATTCAACCACTATTATTTATATTTTCCTACCGAACGAAAAGATGAACCTACATATACTGAATATTTTAATCAACCACAAACACAAAATTTACACAAAACAAGAAGATTTAAATATTACGTACTTAATTATAAAGAGCCAGTTACATCTAGGTTTCTCGTGTTGCATTTATGAAGAGATAAAAACTTGGACTGGGTTACTGGCAGTCAAAAACAAGTTTTTTAAAGGATTATATAGCTATCTCATCATTTTTTCTTCATTTATTGATTGGCAATATCAGGCAAGAGCTTTCTTGATTTTTCTATTCTCAAATCAGTTCTCAATACATATAGAGAAATATATTCATCTACATCTGCAGGACCGCATCAACCTGGATTATCATCTCAGTAGTCTTTAAGACTTCAGATGCATAAGTGACATGTATCGGCTCACAGGTATGATGCTGTAAAATTCTTCATCAAATATTGGTTTCAAGTATAATAAACCTTGAGTTATAGAAGACTGACCGGTCACACTATTGTTTCTTTTTAGTGATGGTTAAGAACTGAGTTTGGAAACGCGTCCTGCAAATGGGGCTCAGGGTACCTCTTGGTTTGCCTTGACTATTAGAAAACTTTCCAAAGATGTCACAGGGTCATGCTTTCTAAAATGCTACATGAGTTGATATAAATGATATCACTGAGTTTTAAACATATCTAAAACCAAACATGATGTCTTTCCAGAACACTTTTTAATACAATAATTAAGATTAAATTGTGAAAATCCATTGAATTTTTTTCAGTCCACTGTTTTTGATCCATGTAACAATAGGATTATAAATCTATCTCATCTGTATTATATGATGTCAACTTTGGTGTAATGTGTGTAATGTAATAAAAAAAGTAATCATTTTTATATCTTTCTTATTTTTTTATTTTTTAAATGAATTAATTTAAATTAATTAATCAATTAATTTTTTTGCTTATATCTAATACATCGAGTTCAAAATCCGAACCCAATTCAAATTCTGTATACCTCAAACTAGTATTTGTGTGATCTCCAACCATTTATATTCAAATTTTGTATCCTAAGGGCAAGAGCAGCCTGGCCCTGCTCCTTCCTCTTCTGCCTGGGCCACTATCCTAGTAGACCATCCTAGGAGATTTCATTAACTTTCCAACCGCCAGAGTTCTAAATCCTTCGTTCATAATGACCTCACTTTATTCCCCTTTCAGACACCCATCCCCAGAGTCATCATCACTTAGAACGGTACCTCTTCATAAATTTTAAACACCAATGTCCCACTCTCTGATCACAATCCATCTAAAATTTAACTCCTAGTCTTCCCCCCTCAACCTGTTCCTCTCAAATTCTTCCCTAGTTCAGGTAATAGTAACTTCATCTTTCTATTTGCTTGGATCAAAAATCTTAGGAGTCATCCTTGACTCTTGCTCACCACCAAATCTAATCATTCATGAAATCCTATTGGCTCTATCCTTGAACTACACCCAGAATCCAACTTCTTCTTACCACTTCTGCAGCCACCACCCTGAGGAAAGTCTTACTTTGCATTTCTCATTTAGATTACTGCAATAGCCTCCTAACTGGTCTCCCTGCTTCTACTCTGGATATCTGTTTTCAACAAAGCAGCCAGAGCGATCGTTAAAGGTAAATCAGATCATGTCACTTCTCTGCTCAAAACCCTGCAAAGGCTCTCCATCTCACTCAGAAGAAAAGCCAGTCTTTACCAAGGTCTACAAGGCTTACATATTTGGTCCCCATTATCTCTCAACTTCATTTCCTACTTTGTCTCCTGTCCACTGTACTCCACACAGGCCTTCTTGCTGTTCCTGGGAATACCAGGCACTCACACACTTTAAGGCTTTTAAATGGCTATTTCCCCTGCCTGGAATGTTTAATTCATACATCTGCATCGTTTATGCCCTCTCTCCTTTCCTGTCTTTGTTCAAATGTTACCCTCTCAATTAGGGCTACGTGACAATCCATTTAAATCACACTCTTCCCTCAGAACTCCAAATCCTTCTTATCCTGCTCTATTCTCTCTATTCCCATCCCACCGGTACTTATCACCTTCTAATGTATTACATAATTTACATATTTATTATTGTTGTTGTTTATTGTCTTCTCCCAATTAGAATTATTCATGATGTACTCTCAGCCCTAGAACACTACTTTGCATATTGAAGGCACTCAATAAAATACTCCAATGAATGAATGAGCCTCCCATCCT